ACAAAATGATTTACATGTCAAAAATGAAGACGGAGGCGCCAGCGAGTCGGACATTTTTACTAACATCACGGTAGTCCCGGCTCAAAGTGCACCAGCTGCAACCTTATTTGACAAGATTGAGAACCAAAATGCTCCGTTGGTGAACACAACAAAAGAGCAAAATGAACTGATGTCAATGATGAACAAGACCGATCAAGAGCGAAGTGCGCCAATATCGGTGAACAGGACTGATCAAGAGCAAAATGCTGCATTGATGAACAAGATTGAGAGGGAGAGTAAAGCCCAAAATGCTCCAGTTGTGATGAACAAGACGGAAGAGCAAAATGCAGCTGCATTGAGTGAAAAAACGGTTCAAGCTAAACGTAGAAAGAAGAAGGCCAGAGCAACTTCATTTGATCAGATGACTCAAATTTCAAGTAGCGGACCTCTGTTGGTCGAAGAAGACAAGAAAATAGCTAAATTAGGAGGATGTGATTTTAGTACAAGAGGGAGGTGGGTCGAAGACGAGAGCTATCCGTTGTACACAAGTCGTTCATGTCCTTTCATAGAAGAAGGTTTTAGTTGTAATGGGAGATTAGACAAAAACTTCACTAAGTGGAGATGGCAACCACAAGATTGTGACATTCCAAGGTAACTTTCTAATTAGTTCTTCATCACTATTTCAATTTGATTAAGCTAGCTAGCGAGCTAATTGGGATTTTAATTATGTATTTCAATTTGATTAAGCTAGCTAGCTAATCGGGATTTTAATTATGTATGCATGTATAGGTTCGACGCAAGAAAAATGCTTGAATTTATTAGAGGGAAGAGGCTAGTGTTTGTGGGCGATTCAATCAATAAGAATCAATGGCAATCTATGGTGTGCATGCTTGTCGGAGATAAAAGAAATCCAAATAAGCCCAGATTCTTGAAAGGAAGAGGAGGCTATAGTGTCGTCTTTGTGGTAATTCTTCAGAGGGAAGTGATTCCCGCAAACCTATTTTCTCCCCATGCACTCGCATGTTTATTTCTGACGCTTGGATTGAATAAATTAGAGGATAATCAAGGGACAAAATAAACAAGCGTGTGAATAACGGGAAAAACAATGTGCAGAAAATATTTCACTTTCCCTTCTTTGTATATTCTTCTCTTCTCTATGCTATATTACTATATTTACATTGCCGTTTCATGTAGGGTTAATACATATTTAGAATGGTGTATGTACGTATTTAAATTTCTGATGTAGGCAGTTTCTTTTTTCACAGGATTACAAGTGTAAAGTTGAATTCTATCCGTCCGTTTTCTTGGTTGAAAAAGTCATGACAAGAGTAGACCAGAAGCAGGAGCAAACGTCCTTGCGAATTGATTCCATTGATCACGGTTCACATCGATGGAGAGAAGCTGATATTTTGGTATTCAACACCGAACATTGGTGGGTCGATTTCAAAACTAATGCCGGGTAAGCTCCATTAATAAATGAGTGAATTTTACTTGTGCCCACCCCTTAGAACAACTGAGCTATGTTAACTCGATCGTTTTAATTGTCTGATAATTAAATTAAATTTTTTAAATTGGGGTTATCCTGACATTTGGAGCTTATGTACTTATGACTGCTTGCATTGCATTTGCAGGGTTAATTTCTTTCAGGAAGGTGACAAAATTCATCCATATCTTGATGTTCTCACAGCTCTCAGAAAAGGTTTGATGACGTGGGCATCATGGGTTGATAATTACATCAATCCACGCAAAACTCAAGTTTTCTTTCGAACTTCATCGCCAACGCACTTCAGGTTATCTAATTATTTAATGTTGATCGAAGTAGTACGTGTATTGGTGTTCTTACATGACAATTTACCAATGAGTGGTTAATTTGTAAAATTGTTGATTGATCACAGCGGAGGAAAATGGAATTTACGGCAGACTTGTGTAGGAGTTAGTGAGCCCCTCCTTCAACCTTCAGGAATTGTAAACGAGAAAGATGTAATTTTGGAGGAGGTCCTAAAGCAGATGAAGACTCGAGTCACTTTGTTGAACACAACAAGCTTGTCGGAGTATCGAATGGATGCTCATCCATCCGACATCAGAGATTGCAGCCATTGGTGCCTTCCTGGCATTCCTGATGTATGGAATGAATTGTTATATCTTCATTTGAGGGTATCCCAAACAGTGGGCGCACAAAATGATTTACTTGTCAAAAATGATGACAGAGGCGCCAGCGAGTCAGACATGTTTACTAACGTCACGGTAGCCCCGGCTCAAAGTGCACCAGCTGCAACCTTATTTGACAAGATTGAGAACCAAAATGCTCCGTTGGTGAACACGACAGAAGAGCAAAATGAACCAACGTCATTGATGAACAAGACCGATCAAGAGCAAAGTGCGCTAATATCGGTGAACAGGACTGATCAAGAGCAAAATGCTGCATTGATGAACAAGATTGAGAGGAAGAGGGAAGCCCAAAATGCTCCCATATTGATGAATAAGGCTGATCAAGAGCAAAACCCTCCAACATTGATGAACAAGACTACTGACGAGGAAAACGCTGCATTGGTTGAAAAACCAATAAAAAAGAGGATGGCGGGAAAGAGGAAGAAGAAGAAGAGCATAGCAACATCATTTGATCAAAAGAGTAGTACTACTCAAATTTCAAGCAGCGGCGGGATGCAAGACATTGAAGAAAACAAGAAGAGAACAACAAAATTAGGAGGATGTGATTTTAGCACAAGAGGGAGGTGGGTCTATGATGAAAGCTATCCGTTGTACACACGTCTATCATGTCCTTTCATATATGAAGGTTTTGATTGTCAAGGCAGTGGGAGATTAGATAAAAACTTCACCAAGTGGAGGTGGCAACCACAAGATTGTGAAATTCCAAGGTAAGTACATAGGCCAAGCTAATTAATTATTTCCTTCTTCAAAACTTGGTATCAAATTCGTTTTCCATTAATGTACACAGTTAGATTGCAATTCGACAATGGTTGACGTAGTACTGGAAGGGCAGACTCAAAATACACAATTCACTGCATAATCACTATTCATGCCAGATTTCATCTTGCTAATGTGTTCCTACATCAATGATTAATCTCAACTTACCATGTTTAATTTTGGTGTGTGATGTATCTATATATAGGTTCGATGCAACAAAAATGCTGGAACTGATGAGAGGTAAACGGCTACTTTATGTGGGGGATTCAATCAATAGAAATCAATTTGACTCCATGGTGTGCATGCTAATGGGAGATATAAGAGATCCCAATAGGCCTAGAATCTCCCATGCCAAGGGGACTTATAGTTTTTACTTTGTGGTAATTCTTTCTCTCTGCATTGTCGATCATTTCGTTTCAGGTTAGAGAAAATTGGAGCACTAGCTAGTCCCTGAATTTGGCCAAATTGCGGACTAGAAATCTAGTTCAGGCCAAATTCAGAGTCTCATGCCCCAATTATCTCTTTCAAGTTGTTTTCCATATGTATTAAATTTCTGATGCTGTAAATTTCACACAGGATTACAAGTTTACAGTCGAGTTTTCTCCATCCGTTTTCTTGGTTGAGAAAGGCACAAAAAGAGTAGGGCAGAAGCAGGTGCAAACATCCTTGCGAATTGATACCATTGATCAGGTTTCATCTAGATGGAGAGGAGCTGATATTTTGGTATTCGACACTGAACATTGGTGGACCGATTTCAAAACTAACTCTGGGTGAGTTCGATAATGAGTAGTAGTAGCTACGTATACCATGCTTGTTGATGTTCGATCACAGAAAAATACATAATTTGGAGCTAACAAATGAATGCATGCAGGAAGAATTTTTACCAGGAAGGGGGAAAAATTCATCCATTTCTTGATGTTCACACAGCTCTCAGAAAAGGTTTGATGACCTGGGCAGCATGGGTTGATAAAAATATCAATCCACGCAAAACCCAAGTTTTCTTTCGAACTTCATCACCAACGCATTTCAGGTAATGAGTTTGCCTCCTGGAATATTATGTGTACGTTCTTATGGTTAATACGAGTTCACGAAACAGTCAATACAAGTACACTATCTATCCTGCTCCATGATTTATATTTGTGTGGCGACGTCCATCAACTTGTGCACATTGTGATGATTTTCTGAGTACATAGTTCTCTAATTTGTAATTCTTCATTGAACAGCGGAGGTGAGTGGAAATCGAGCCGGAGTTGTATAGGAGCTACTGAACCCCTCCCCAAACCTTCAGGAATGGCAAACAAGAAAGATGTAGTGCTAGAGGAGGTTGTAAAGCAGATGAAAACTCCTGTGACATTGTTGAACATAACAAGCCTGTCAGAATATAGAATAGATGCTCATCCATCAGCCATCAAAGATTGCAGCCATTGGTGTCTTCCTGGCCTGCCTGATGCCTGGAATGAATTGTTGTATCTGCACTTCCTCAGTGACTCGTGACCAAAATACACCGAGTATATTTGATCACTGTGTCATACGATAACAAAAAATAAATCACATTTTGGCCACCTAGAAATGCGAGTGAAAATTTCTTGATTGTACATGTTTTTATGAGAAGTAAAAAGAGCACACTTTAAAAACTGAAAATTAAAATGATTATCAAACGAACTGATCAAAGTTAAAGCCTGAAAGCTTGACAATGGAAGCAAACGTCTCCAAGTTTGAGAAGAACAATCAGTGATAACCAATTTCACAAACATCCATCAAGAAATTTGTGTTATGACAGCACATAATGAAATTGAATGCTTTGGAAAGAAGTAAAGAACGAGTGTGAAAAAAAAGAAGGAATCGATAAGAAGCTTTGATTCTCCTTAGACTCTGATTTGAGTACGTATAACCCTCGTTAAGAGCACGATCAATGAGCCCTTTCCTTAGACATTGAGATTAATTAGCAATGAAAACATTATTGAAAGAAATCAAAACAAAAAACAAAAGGGTAGCTAAGTTACAAATTAGGGATTGTGCTCCATTCGCCCCTAGACCATGAGAAGTTCGGACCACAACCTTAATGTTCTACTGCATATATATTGCATACAGCTTGCTCTCTTTTGTTTTTTGGTATATTTTTATCGTTTTTATTTTCATTTTTGTGGAATACGAAAGCCTCAACATTCTCCAAGTTGTTTGTAGAAAATTCGTAAGTGGTTAGAATTCAACCAGCGCATGGAACAAATGGTCCAAAATACATGAATATCCAAAGACTGCTTTCTGCAAGTATGCTGCACATGTCTTGCTGCTTCTTCTGATGAATTGTGTTCTTCTTCTTCAAGAAGAGTATTTATTTTTCATTTCTTAACGACAACAGAGAGGGAGCTGAGGGATTAGGCGAGCAGAACTACAAAACCGAGAAGTAGTAGTCATGAAGAGGCAGCTGAGTTCCTCCTCTAAATCATCAACCACTAGAATAACTAGACCATTGGTGTTCTGTTTTAGCATCCCTTTCTCTATCATCTTTCTCTCTTTTGTTATCATTTGGGTTAACAAAACCGCTCCTCCCAATTCATTGCCGGTTCAAGAAACCAGCAGATGTCTCCGGTTCAACACTACATCCTCAGCCGTTTCGAGTTTCATAGTTGCTGTTGTTCCACCTGTTCCATCATCTGCTGAGACTAATTTGACCACTGGTAATTCGAATAGCAATATTTCTGGAGTTACGTCAGATGATAGTCTTCCTCCGAAAGATTCAACCTTGAAGTTGGCGGCTAACCCTTTGAGTGCACCTGAAAATGCTTCTAGCTTTTCTGGGACTAATTCGCTTGTTAGCGGGCTGCAGAGGAAGGAGAATGAGACAGATGATGATGAACAAGACAGAGGCGGTGATGACTTAGATGGTAACGAGCTCAAAACAGAGGAACAAAGTGCAGCAGCTGTGGCTATGGAGCAAAATATTACACCATGGAACAAGTCTGAAGAGCAAAATGCCCCATTGACGAATGGGGTTCAAGGGAAAAATGTTCCATTGACGAATGAGACTGAAGAGCAAAATGCTGCATTGAGTGAAAAACAGATTGAACGGCAACAATGGCCACTGACTAATGAGACTGAAGAGAAAAATGTGCAATTGTTGAACGTTGAAGAGCAAAATGCTACATTGAGCGAAAACAAGGTTGAAGAGCAACAATGGCCATTAATGAAAGAGACTGAAGATAAAATTGCGCCATTGTTGGACAAGACTGAAGGAAATACTGCATCGTTGCTGAACGGGACAGAAGAGCAAAATATGCCATTGTTAAACAAGACTGAAGATCACAATGCTGAATTGAGCGAAAAAAAGATTGAAGAGCAACCATGGCCTGTGATGAAAGAGATTGAAGAGAAAAATGCGACTTTGTTCAACGAGGTTGAAGAGAAAAATGCTTCGTTAAGCATAAACAAGTTTGAAGTGCAGGACACAACATTGATGAACAAGACTGAAGGGAAAAATGCGCCATTGTTGAATGAGACTGAAGAGAATAATGTGCAATTGAAGAACGAGACTGAAGAGCAAAATATGCTATTGTTGAACGAGACTGAAGAGCAAAATGCTGCATTGAATAAGAACAAGATTGAAGAGAAACAATGGCCTGCGATGAGAGTGAATGAAGAGAAAAATGCGCCATTGTTGAATGAGGTTGAAGAGAAAAATGCTGCATTGAATGACAAGAAGATTGAAGAGGAAGCCACGCCATTGCCATTGATGAAAAAGACTGAAGAGCAACAAAATGCGCAGTTGATGAACGAGACTGAAGACAGGATTGAAGCAGACAGGATTGAAGCAGACAAAAGTAGGAAAAGGATGGTTGGAAAGAAGAAAACGAAGAAGAAGAAGACCAGAACAACTTCACTTGATCAAAATTCTCAAATTTCCAGCAGTGGGGGGCTGCTGGTCGAAGAAGACATGAGCATAACAAAATTAGGGGGATCATGTGATTATAGTACAAAAGGGAGGTGGATCAAAGATAACAACAGCTATCCTTTGTACACATATCGTTCTTGTCCTTTCATAGAAAAAGGTTTTAATTGTGAAGGTAATGGGAGATTAGACACAGATTTCATGAAGTGGAGGTGGCAACCAGAAGATTGTGACATTCCAAGGTTCAATGCAAGGAAAATGCTGGAACTGATTAGAGGGAAAAGGCTTGTTTTCGTGGGGGATTCACTCAATAGGAATCAATGCCAATCCATGGTTTGCATGCTAATGGGAGCTATAAGAGGGCTCAGAGTCATCAAAGGAAAGAGGGCATATACTTTCACCTTTGTGGTATTATTCTTCTTCAACATTATTTACTCCTTAACATGCATACTTGTATTTCATTTTCTGAAGTAGTTCAATTTGTCACAGGATTACAAGTGTACAGTCGAATTTTATACATCCCCTTTCTTGGTTGACAAAGGCATGGCAAGAGTAGGGCAGAAGCAGGTGCAGACCTTGCTAATCGATGCAATTGATCGTGCTTCATCAAGGTGGAGAGGAGCTGATATTTTGGTATTTGACACAGGACATTGGTGGAATGATCACAAAACTAATGCTGGGTCAGTCTAGTCACAGAATTTGTGCAAGTGAAACATGCTATAGTTAATTAACTTGAATTTCTTCAACCGCAATATCCTGACCTTAATTTGAGCTTGCAGGATGAATTTCTACCAGGAAGGTGGCAAAATCCATCCACACCTTGATGTTTCCACAGCTCTCAGAAAAGCTATGATGACCTGGGGGTCATGGGTTGATAAAAACATCAATCCACGTAAAACCCGAGTTTTCTTTCGAAGTTTATCACCCACGCATTTCAGGTTAACTTGCATTTGCTCCTGTCTTCGATCATGCTGCCTGCACATGTAAACTTCATATAACTAGTTGCATCTCAGAGTGTTTAATTTGTAATTCTTCATTGAACAGGGGAGGTCAATGGAATACAGGCGGGAGCTGTACAGAAGCTACTGAACCCCTCCTCGAACTTTCGCAAATTGAAGACGAGAGAAACATAATTGCAGAGCAGGTCGTGAAGCAGATGAAGACTCGTGTGACTTTGTTGAACATAACTGGCTTGTCAGAATATAGAATAGACGGTCATCCATCTGTCTATGGCAATTCTTATTCTTCAGGGGTTCAGGATTGCAGCCATTGGTGTCTTCCAGGCATTCCTGATATGTGGAATGAATTGCTGTATTTTCATTTGCAGCAGTAACTCACACTGCAAACTGCTGTCTGTTTATCAAGTTCATTCAATAAGTTCAGAATCTTATCAAAAGATAAAATAAATCAATTCAACCCTTTTTCCATCTCGAGAAATGTTTTACATAGAATTTCCGGATATTACCATCACAACATGCCTCTCTGCGATAGCATTCTCGAATACAAACTACAATACTGAACCGCTAGAAGAATTCAAACTCATTCTCTATAAATCCATAACAAATAAAATTAAAAAAAGAAAAAAAAAAACAAAACCTTACTTCCAATACAGCCACCTAGAAGGACAATTCTTGTCCCGGATGTTGTCATGGATAAAACCCTCCAGAGTCGAGCTATGCGCCACACTTTGATACTTATGTACATCTCCATCCATGCTAACTATCCATTCAAAGGGCTTGGTGCTTTTTCGCTCTGCCTCTGGAGACAGATGAATCGTCCCTCTTAGAACCCTCCGGTTTTTGAGCCCATACAGGCGCTGCCTCTGAAAGATAACAATAATCGTAGAAGAGCTCCTCACCGGCATCAATATGCTCCTTGGCAAATATGCCAACTCGATGATCACCCGCAACCAGCATTACCTATACACAAACATGTATTAGCACACACCCGCTACCAGCATTACCTATACACAAACATGTATTAGCACACACCATTATAACTATCAAACAAGAGAATTACAGAATACTTAATTACCTTTGCATGGCAGTTGGGATTTGATGAGTGGTTTGCAAATTTAAGCTTGTCTCCCTTTCGGTAAGCATCTAGGACATACTGCAGTAAACAGGTGTAAAGCCAGTGTGAAGCTATATCCTAAAGGTATCACATATTTGCGAAGAAAATTGAAATGCAAATGTAAAAGTGGTCAATCATTAATTTTCCCTTGCCTGTTCATTCAAGTCGAAAAGGAATGATGAGTTTACACGATCATAAATCTTCCCCCGCTTGTCTGCTTCCTGATGCGAGATGATTTCACCAGTATATTCTCCAAGATAATCATTCTTGTTTACAGGGTTCTGAAATCACATGGTTTAATATGGTGAGAAAAGAAAAATCAACTTCAAGTTATAGGATGCCACATACAAAAACATCGAAATCTTCCAACCTTTAAGAAGGCTCCCCAACCAGCAATATCAGACTTGCCCAGCAGAATCTGAAGAAAAAAAGAAAGTGTATGCAATCATAAATCATAAAGTAAATTATGTAGTTCACAGAAGTGATTTATTAACTAAATGCTAGGAATGGCTCACCCTTTGTTGTTGTCTTAGAAGAAGCCTCATGTTACCACACTGACTATCTCCCTGTTTCGGTGGCTCGCCTAGTGAACCATCCCCACAACTGCAAAAAAAATTTATATTTGAATTAAAAAATCACCACTAAAGAAGTAACAAACTCTCTATGATGAACACTCTGTGCATGATTCAAACAGCTCGATCAGCTGGTCCATCATGGAGCTCATTACCTAACCCAACAATGATGACAGACATCTGGGTCACATTCGCGCCCAGCAGCAAAGCATGGGCACTGCCGACTTCTACACTGACTCTTTGCACAGTGACATCCCCTGAACCTATTTTTGCAACTCTTTGAGCACCTAAAATCGAAAGAGTTAATCACTGGTTCTGTGCATTTCATTCAGTTTACTTTTAGGATAAGTCAGACATACCCACAGTATTTTTCACAGCAGGTTCCATTGCTCATACAAGAACATTCCTTTCCACACATAGACTAGCATCCACATGGCGTATGCAGTTTAAGTGAATCGTTTTTGCCATCAGCAATCCTTTTCCACATTGTTGGGCGCCCAGCAGACTTCCAAGAATACTTCAGCCTCCGTGCTTTTCCCCTTCTATGAAGTAACCGTGGCTTTAACGACATCTCTTGTTCCTAGTACGAGTACAACAAAATTAACCTTTTTTAACCACAGAGAGAGAGAGAGAGAGAGAGAGAGAGAGAGAGAGAGAGAGAGAGAGAGAGAGAGAGGTAAAAAAAGAAATAGGGAGGATAAGTTCTATGATGCTACTGTCTGATCCAAATCAGCTTTCACATTGTCTTCCATAAATGACGATGGTCCAACCACAGATCTGTTAGGCATTGAAGATCCAGAATTATGCATGTAACTAGACACCTCCATACACGTCCTCAATCCGGAGAGTAAGTTCCTCGCTATGAGGCAACTGCAGAACGCAAGTTACCAATTAAGTACAAAGATACGGAATGGTGTAATGAAGAACCGTGTAAGGCATTTCGAATTCAAAAATATGTACCTGTTTCTCCCAAATATCTGTAGTCCCTTCATGTATAAATCTTTCTCCACTGGTTTCCACTCAGAGTTGCTACACATCCGCTCAACTTGTCTACGTGTAGAATTGGATGTTTGCCTCAGTTCAGGCACTTCGGTTACATCTCTTGGTTCACCTCTGGAAATGTGAACCCGAACCGGGATAGGTTCACTAGTTGCAGTTACCAAATCCAAAGCATCTAATCTCTTTTGTTTCTTAGATGAACCGTGGAAATCATCAGGTACTATAGTTAGGTCCTTTGCCACTTTATCCGTATGCTTCATGACCTTGCGCTTCCCTGTTTTTTCATTGTGCATCTTCAGGATATGAGAACACTGAATGGTTTCTGAGGTTGCAGGCACAGCATCTCCAGGAATGCTTCTTTCGTTGTGTGTGACGTCTGTATAGCCATGAGAACTTGGTCGCTCGGCACTAATGGATGATCCTGGAGCACTTTCTCTCTCTGATGTTACTATACTCAACTGCAAGAAGAACCTGGAGGTCATAATTAAAAATCCTATGACTAGTGGCAAAAGCCAAAGTAATTATGGAGTGTACAAAACATAATTGTCATGATAAATATGCCCTATAGTCCATCAGGAGAAAAGAAAAATGAAAAGTTCAGTGAGCCTCAGATTTGACCAAAAGAATAAAAACAAAAGCGTAATCAGGCCCCGAACTAGTGAGATTTCGGCGTTTAACTTAATTCACCACCAAAACCCTAGAGGGTGAAAAAGTTTAACTTGTACAAGTTCATGATAAGTAAACTTATCAGATTAACAGTGTCCTACTATTAAATTCAAGGAGAACGAAAGAAACTAATTTAACTAAATAGACTCAAGTAGTAACAGAACATTAATAAGGAAAGGAAATTCCATACCCTGAGGTAACATTGATCACTGCAAGGTTCCTTGTTCTCGTCATGACCGGACCACTGCGACTTTTCACTCTGAAAAAGAAAAAAATACCACAATAGACATAAATTAATGGAGTTCAAGCAAGCTGGCACATATAAGCAACACTGCTGCTTACAGGATAGATTAAAGGTTGAGAACATCCATGCAAACGACAATCAAACACCTGTTAGACAGAATCAGTTGAGAGTTATATCAGAAAATGCAAAACCAGTAATTTCATTTAACAATTCAAGCAAGATGACACCCGCATACCAAGCAACGGCGACAGAAAAGGTTATCGAAAGAATCTAAGGCAGCAATAAGACTCTTATCAAGAGAAATGCACCCATCGGGTTCACGTTTCTCGCTGTTCCTTTCCTTGATTGTGTTATAACGGTCCTGCAAGTGTAGAATTCCACAAAATTTAGGCACCAAAATCCTCCCAAACAACAATGTGAACACACGTTAATGCCAGCTACCAGGATTTCCAAAATGGGGACTCCAATAAACTCCCTCACAACTTCCACTACTTCCTCGCCTAGGCCATGCTCCTGAAATGCCATCCTACAAATTCAATACGAAAAATTAAAAACCTTCATTTATTCCTACAAAAACATTGGACTACGCAAGTTCATAAGCAGCCATAGTCGATGTGATTCTCTAAAAATCTAACATCTCATTTGAACTTACAACAGAATTCGATCTTCGCCCGCAGAAAATTCATGTTCTACTTTTTCGGGTTCTTCTGCCTCATCATCACTGCCACTGTAGACAAGAGCTTCACTGCCATCTTCATCGTAGTAAATACGCCTCCTCCCAACTACTGATTGGTCTTCAGCCATTCTTTGATTTCTGTGCTGTGAAAGAAAAATTTGAGATGGGAGAAACACAACAGCAACAATTTTCACATTAACAACATAAGAAAGCAGGGACAAAAACATATACAAAAATCTACAATTTGCGTTATGTCACAAGTCCAAATTCTAAACCCCATAAAGCGTTTAAGCAAACGGGTAATTAAACCTGTCCAAGAATATCCAAGTTGTATAAGGCGGAATCTTATCAACAAGTGGGAGCTTGGTACTTGATGAGAATAACACCTCTTGATTCTCAATCCAGTTTTTCTCACCATATCCCTGCGCAAATCCACTGATTTTGCAGAGAGGCTGTTCAATTGTTGAAGAAAACAATTTAAAGCTCCCATTTTGCTCTGATGACGAAGCATTCAAATTCGCTCTTGATGTTTCCGATATAATTTTCGAAACATAACTCTCTACCTTCTCCCTGTTCTTCTCAACTTTTTCCTGAAATGTATAACAAATGTATGCCAAAACTTACTTTTACTGAAAGTGAAATCATTACGGTTATACGTTCCCAGATAATCTAGCAAACAGCTTCTACCGGAACTCGGATTCTGATTCTCCTTAATTCAACTCCTCCTAAACTCAATTCTTAAACAATTCCGATTACGGATTAATAAAAAAGGCATTGAAATGTATGTGACAAAACTTACTTTTACTGATATCACTCTCTCTGCTTGAATTTGCAACTTGAGCTGGTGCATCTTCTGCTCCAAGCTTCCAACGCCATCACTCGGATCTTCTCCATGGAATTTCTGCCCATATAAATCACAGAGTACACACAATTTCGTGAATTCAATATCAAACACAATCAGATTCCATTTTCTGTTTTGCTGCAGAGAAAATGTGCAATTACTGTGCAAGAAGCTACGACTTCTAATCACACAAAGTTTTGAAATTTCATTGCTTTGACATCAAAAATGCAATCTGGATATCCGAAGATAAATTCTCATCCCTGTTTGATCACAACAATTACA